GGAGTAGAATCTTACAGAATGGTCCCGAGAGACCACTGCAGTCATTTCCTAAGTGCTTCCTTTGCCAGAGACTGACCTGGGTCCTTTACTTACCTTCCCTCATTCACTTTCCCTCTGCCAATACCATGTTCTTGATTTTCTTTCTTCACTGGAAGAAAGCGGATAAATTCCTCTTTGGTCTGTTTTCAGAGGCCAGGCTGATTCAGATGCCTGTTTTTTGCTATTGCTTTCCATTGTTTGGGGGCATTCCTTTTCACAAGGGAAACCCGTGAATGTTCTGGGAAACTCTTCAGAGGATATGAAGGAAATACTTAAAGAGTAATGATTAACCATTGAATGTTTTCTGATTTAAAACTGCTCACCTGAAATTGATACTTTGAGACTTTCCGATAAGTAAATGATTCAGAACTCATTCAGATACCGAGTGTGTTAAGTGTCACTGCAGAAACGGAACTATGACGATCACATTTTGCTGCCTGTGCCCGTGTTTTTCCCTTGAGCTTGTTTTGTTGCTGATTCATATCTTGTGTTCAATTATTTTGGAAGCTTTTCGGTCAACATTCTCTAGACTGTGTTCTAAGGAGGAACTGTGATGAGAAAGTGGGTTCTAGATATGACCTAAAGTGCATGGCTCTCTCTGCACCCGTTATGTCCTGTCGGTTGGTCGAATCACTGGAAACTGGAACCCTTGATTAGCAAAACTAATATTGAAATAAGAAATAGTTCTTTTATATTGTCATTTAGACATTTTCAAATACAAAATGGTAATAATAACTTGGATTGAGGCAGAAACACCTATTGTATGGCTGTCTGTCTATCTTCTCTGTAATACATACTCTTTTAAAAGACTTCACTAAATCTATCTTTAAAAGGAAAAACAAAAGGGAGAGGTTGAAAATGCACGAGTTGCCCCACACTGTGTGATGCTCCCTCCTCGGGAGACGTGGATAGGGACGAGGCGCCCGCAGGTGCCCTTCTGCTCGCTCGCTCCGCTGTGCACTCTGCGAGCCACTTGCCACAGATGGAGCCCGGACGGCGCGGAGGGTTTCCTGGAAAGGCCGTCTTCCACCAGGTAGAGGCGAGTGTGCCCAGGACAGGCCACAGGGGGCTCCACAGAAATACCTCGCCCAGCTTCAGGGCTCTCCCTCCTGAGCCTAGATTTGCCAGGGTCTTGGTGCCACACACATGGTTTCACACTGATCTCTATGGGAAAATGCTGGTGTTGGTTAAAGAACTGAAAAATGTGCTCAACTTTTCATCTTTTCTATTTTATTTTTGTAATTTATATTGTACACAACCCAGGAAGTAACTATTTTGGACATGTATTTTTATAAACCAGGTAATTTATTATTATCCTGGAATTTAGACTAGGTTTGTTTCATTTGTTGACTTGGTTTTCAGTCAAGAAGGAAATGACTGTCTCCCCCATGTTCAGGTCGTAATTTCAAGTGCAGAGTCCGGAGAGCGAGTTCTGTCAGAGCAGGAGAGAGTCTAGAAACACTGGCTGTGCACACTGTGTCAGCCGTGGGCCTGGAGTGGACACAGGGCTCTGCTCTGGTCTTTGAGATGTGAGACGCAGAGCCCCAGTGCGGAGAGGGGAAGCCCGCTTCCAGGGCCCCTTGCCCACACCAGGTCCGTGTCCGAAACACTAAGTGGGTGCTGCTTCAACCCGCATTTCATGCTGTGTAAGTCACGATAACGACGTACGAGTCTGTCTGGTTGATTTCTAATGTAACGCCTCTGGTAATAAATACAAATGTGACCTTTCAGATTGCATATCTCAAAAGTAACATTGCCTAATGTTTTATAATAAAATATATTATGTGTGTTTTGGTTGGTGAAAATAATACAGACTACATTTTAAAAGATAAATGTATAGCATGTCCAATTTTTGTGTGTTTTTAAATGACAATTAGATAATTTCTCCATCACCATCTCTGATGACAGATTTAACATGAAACAGATAGATGATAAAGCATCATGCCTTTGATCAATATTAGCAAGAGGTTTCACATGAAAGGCAGAAACATTGCTGTTTGTTCTCTTATTGAAAATATTCTGCAAACTCCTAAATCTGTGTTTTCAAAACTAATGGCGGTAAGTTTTGACGTCACCAATACACAAGCACGGTTCAGAGTATTGGTGTAATTGTTTTCTCATGAGGCGTGGCCAGGAGAATCCGCCAGTCAGCCTTAGTCGTATGACTTAACGTCGTTCATGGTGCTTGTGGCTTTGCATGGGATGAGCCAAGTTCATCTGACGTGTGTTTTTGAAGCACTTTAGGCTTCAGTACTTAATACCACAGGAGGAGAAGGACACTCAGTGGCTCAATTTCCTTTGTCTGCTTAAAAGGACTAGAATCATTCCAGAGAGATGCGTGTCAGCTGTGTTTGTAAAGGTCTCGTGAGAAGGAAGGTGTTTCTTGAGATACTGGGGTCTGGGTCTGGGTTCCATTTCTCTGTCCTGTTCCCTCTTCCCTCTTTCACTGTAGGAAGCACTGAAATGCTTTTTATTTATCGACTGAAGTAATACACACAGGTGGGGTGGGGGTTTTCAGGGAGGAGGGAGAGTGCCCATGTTTCAAAATAACTTCATAATTAGCTACTTGCTTTATCTGGAAGATTCTGTGGCTACTTATGTGAATTTAAGCATAAGGTGGTTACCTTTGTCAATAAGGCAGTTCTTCGATATTGTTTTAATCAGGAAAATTGGTAACAAAATCAGTAATAACAGTGACAGAGTGGTCAGTCACATCTGCTTGGAGCTGAACGTAGCCGTTATGTAAGGGAGATGCACATCTCAGCCCTTGGGAGCTGGTCACAGGCTGAGTCCTCAAGGCCTGGAGACCACATGCTCTTCTGCAGTTAGAACGACCAAGGCCGTGGTTCCCGAGGGTCACTGTGAGCACGAGTGTTTGCTGCCTCAGTTCTCCTCCATGGTGTTTAGAGTTGGAAGGGAAATCCAGAATCATTCTGTCTAACCCCCCACCCTACAACAGTGAGAAAGCCGTTCGCCCGAGAGAGGGCACCTCACAGCACCAAGAAGGAGCGGCGGGTCCGCCCTGACCCCGTGGGCAGCGCGTTCTTGCAAATCTCACTCTTCTCTTTTAGTCATAAACACTTTTGAGAATCTGCTGACATCTGTGACCTTCTCCCAAGAAAAACACCATAAGCACAGAATTTTTGCCAAGCTTTCAGAGGAGCCCTGGACCCCAGTGGATATCATGTGAATAGCCCCTTTCTTTTCTTTTCTTTTCCTTTCTTTTCCTTTTCTTTCTTTTCCTTTCTTCCTTTCTTTTTCTTCCTTCCTTCTTCCTTCCTTCCCTCCCTCCCTCCTTCCCTCCCTCCCTCCCTCCCTCCTTCCTTCCTTCCTTCCTTCCTTCCTTCCTTCCTTCCTTCCTTCCTTCCTTCCTTCCTTCCTTCCTTCCTTCCTTCCTTTTTCTTTCTTTTTCTTTCCAGAATCTCACTGTGTCGCCCAGGCTGCAGTGCAGAGGCGTGGTCTCGGCTCTCTGCAACCTCCACCTCGCAGGTTCAAGCGATTCTGGTACCTCAGCCTCCCACATAACCGGGATTACAGGCATGCACCACCGTGCCTAGCTAATTTTTGTGTTTTTAGTAGAGATGGGGTTTCCCTGTGTTGGCCAGGTGAGTCTCGAACTCCTGAGCTCCAGCGATCCACCTGCCTCGTCCTCTCAAAAGTGCTGGGATTACAGGCGTGAGCCTCTGTGCCCGGCCGAAAAGCCCCTTTCTAGACGCAGCTCCTAGATGCTTCGTGTTCTCAGGGAGCGGAGCCTCACGAGGGTTCTGCTGCCTTTTCTGCCCTTGCTGGGCCTGACTCGTTTGTACACAAATCTTGGGTGTGCACAGGGCATCGTCACTCAGCCCCAGCACTGCTTGGTGTTCTTACTTGATGGCAGAAAGAAAAGACGACAACTTTGTTCCAGTGAACTGGGTAGTTTCCATCACTTCCTCCACGTGGAACTCAGGAGCTAGATGGAAATGTACAAAGACACAGCTATCATTAAACAGTCTCCTAAAGGAGTGGTTCTGTGCTGAGCTTTGAAATAAATTCTTTCACTTAAAACCGTATTTTAAATTGATTCTCCAAAAATATATTCGAGAGAGAGAGGCCTCTTCCCTCAAACTCCCTGTGATTTTCTTACAGCTTTTATAAATGCGCTTTGAAATTAATTTCATTCACACATTTTTAAGTGTGCTTTGAAGTGAACTTCATTTGCGCATCTAGAGCGGAATGCACAGGGGGGCTCTCTGCGTCACACCCCTTCAAGTAGGACTCAGCCTGAAGAGTTCCTCACAGCTGGTCACCCAGCCCCTGTTCACAAGAAGGGAATTCCTTTCCCACTGAATCGTTTGTACTTTTAACTGCTGGAACGTTCTTTCTTAAATGGAACTGACGCCTGGCTCCCGTACCTTCTGCCCTTGGGCCCTAGACCTTTCCTCTAGGCAAAACAGAGCAAGTCTGTCCTGCTTTTAATAGCAGGCTTTAACGTGTTAGTTGGAAAGGTCAGCTCCAAGTCTTCCCTTCTCTGTGTTAAACTCAAAAGTTCATCCAACCCTCTGTCCTATGAAAAAGCCACCACTGCTGGGGAGGCTGAGGCAAGAGGATGGCTTGAGCCCAGGAGTGTGAGGCTGCAGTGAGCACTGACCAGACCACTACAGCCTAGGCGACAGAGTGAGACCCATTCTCTTAACAATAAAATCCCCCAGAGCCTCACCACCTTGGGGACCCACTTGTCAGCTGCACCCCTAAAATACGGGCCCAGAAGTAGACACAGTATTTGAGATATACAGCCTGAGCAGGGCACCCTCTAAGGGCCCCCATTAATTAACACAGTCTCGGGTGGCCTTAGTCTCGACAGCCATGTCACACGCTGGGTCTAGGCCCATCTCAGTTCCTGAGTTTTGTGATGTTGCAGTCAATCCCAGTTCTGTCATCGTCGTAAACATTCTCTCCTAACTTGACATCTGTGGTCCAATGGCATGAACGTGTCTCCCAAACCTTCATCTGGTGATGAGCAGCACCTTCAGGCAGTCATCAGGACACAGGACATGTCCACGTGGCTGTTGTCTCCCCGTCAGCAGGGCAGTTCAGCTCTGCAGCCTCATCACGGAAAGCATGAATGCACTTCAGCGTCACTCTCTGCTCCACTTACTAGTCACATCTCAAGAAAAAGAAATGAGTTTGGCACCCTCCCTGGATCTCAGAGTGCTTTCTTTTATTTTTACTTGAGAGGGGCAGGTGGTGAGCGCCCGCCTCCCCCTTGATAGCCACACTTTTGCTATCCTGTGGCCACTTAGAAAACATGACTAGTTTTGTCCCCGCGTCCGCAGGTCCGAGTGAGTGAGGGAGCAGGGCACTTAGTGGCCTTGTTTTGTTTCAGCGTGAATAAAGAAGTGATGTGTTTTGAAGGCTGCATGACTCTGATTCCGCAAAGGACCGTACAACTGACGCCAGGCAGCTCTCCTGTTGCCTGATGACTACAAAAATGTCTCCATCAGGACAGAACCTGGCTCACACTGGGTGTGACTTCAGATGTTTATCGCCTTGAGCATCCCTTGCCTTTTTTTCCAGGGCCTAGTCAACACCCATGCATTCATAGTGCCTGCTTTCTGGTTGTCGTGTCCTTAAGGATCTTTTTTTTTTTTTTTTTTTTTGAGACGGAGTCGCGCTCTGTCGCCCAGGCTGGAGTGCAGTGGCCGGATCTCAGCTCACTGCAAGCTCCGCCTCCC